GTGCTGGGATTCAGGCTTGAATGCCCCAACACGCCCGGCCAAACTCCCACACTTCTATCCATCCATCCACTGATCAATCATCCATCCATTGATCGTTCATCCATTGATCAACCATCTACAAATCCTTCCATCCACTTGTAAACCCGGGACACTGTCCATCGCTAATCTAGTCATAAAACCATCCACAAACCTACATACCCATCTACATAAAAAGCCAGCCACCCATCTGTCCATCTACCCATACATTCATACTTCAGTTCTATTCAGGCCCTTTCATTAACTCACCCCACAGTCCATCCACCCATCAACCCACCCACCCAGTCTTCCATCTTTTTACCCATCCCACCATCATTTGTCCATTTCTTACTCTAACTTTTATTAGGTTTTACTGTATGTTGAATATTGGGAGAAAAATAAGGGATGGAGGTAAGAGAAGAGCCTAGGCATTGGAACCTACCTGGGCCTAGATACCACAGTTTTAACAGAGGGGGAAAAGAAGACAGAAACAGTTCCTCCAGGTTAAAATTCCTCCAGACCTAAGCAGGAGTGAAGGGTGAATGGCACTACCCATGAGTTTACAGACCAGGGAGAGTAAATATATCACATACATACCATTCCTCCTCATCTGATACCCATGGCAGACAAAACTAATGGATCACATTTCCCCACTGAGCCTCAGAACCCTTCCTTGCACAATACTCCAGGTAGACACTACTGATGGATCAGAGTAGGAACTAGAAATGGATCACATGGCCAAGCATAGCAGCTCATGCCTATAATCCCAGTGCTTTGGGAGGCTGAGGCAGGAGGATCGCTTGAGCCCAGGAGTTTGATATCAGCCTGAGTAACATGGTGAAACCCTGTCTCTACAAAACTTACAAACCTTAGCTGGGCGTGGTGGTGCATACCTGTGGTTCCAGCTACTCGGGAGGCTGAGGTGGAAGGATTGCTTGAGCCTGGGAGGTTGAGGCTACAGTGAGCCAAGATCGTGCCCCTGCACTCCAGCCTGGGTGACAGAGCAAGACCCTGTCTCAAAAAAAAAAAAAAGTGAAACACATTTATCAACCTCAGAACTTTCAACCAATCAGGCCAAATATACACATGACTTCTCACAAGATATAATAAATAAAAGTTTGGAATTCATTCTCTCAAATGTGAGCAAAAGCAGAGACAGACAGTTACAGACTTTCATATTCAAGAGCAAATACTTGAGCACCTTACTGTGTGTGAGATTCCCTGGTAGGCCCTGCAGGGGACACTGGGGTGCCTCAGAACAGGCTCCAGTGGCCCTCAAGGGGAGATGCTGAGATTTCAGGCAGGCAGGCAGAGCTGGGTTATGCCTTTGCCTGGCCCTGCAGCCAGCAGAGAGCAGGGGTTCCTGAGCACACAACTGTTGGATGACTAGGTCCCAAGGCATGTAACCAGGCACTGTCCTGACACCTCCCGACTGCTTGGCTCTTTGGGGGTTGATGAAAAACATTCCCTCCGCATCTACACAGACATACAGATGTGGTCTGACGAACGGATGCAGACATATAAATACGTGCATTCCAACAGCCAGCCATGACCTTCCTCAATAACAGAGCTATAGGTGGGTCAAGCAGGCCTTCCTGCAGCTTTGCCCTTGAGGCTGAATTTTTTTTTTTTTTTTTTTTTTTTTGAGACAGGGTCTCACTCTGTCGCTAGGCTGGAGTGCAGTGGCACAATCTGGGCTCACTGCAACCTCTACCTCCTGGGTTCAAGTGATTCTCAGCCTCTCGAGTAGCTGGAACTACAGGCGCACGCCACCGTGCCCAGCTAATTTTTTTGTATTTTTGGTAGAGACGGGGTTTCACCATGTTGGCCAGGATGGTCTCAATCTCTTGACCTTGTGATCTGCCTGCCTTGGCCTCCCAAAGTGCTGGGATTACAGGCGTGAGTCACTTCACCCGGTTGAGGCTGAAATTAACAACAATAAATGGAACAATGTTATCTATGAAATATACATATAACAGATACCCTTGATTAAGGCCAAACCCTGTGCCAGGCCATGTCCTAGATGTCTCATGTAAGTCATTTGATACTCATCAAATCCAGGAGGATGGTATTATTGTGCCTATAATTTAAAGGGAAAAAAACTGCAAAATGGAGACTTGGAGACAGTCTGCCAAAGGTCATGTGGCTGGGATGGGGCATGATTGAGATAGACAGTTACAGTAACAGCTCAGGAGGGCAGGCGGTGGCTCACGCCTGTAATCCCAGCATTTAGGAAGGCCTAGGGGGGTGGATCACTTGAGGTCAGGCGTCTGAGACCATCCTGGCCAATAAGGTGAAACCCTGTTTCTACTAAAAATACAAAAATTAGCCGGGCGTGGTGGCGCACTCCTGTAGTCTCAGCCACTCGGGAGGCTGAGGCAAGAGAATAGCGTGAACCCGGGAGGTGGAGCTTGCAGTGAGCTGAGATCGTGCCACTGCACTCCAGCCTGGGCAACAGAGCAAGACTGTCTCAAAAAAAAGAAAACAAACAAAAAAAACCCAGCTCCCAGTTAGTGATGTTTCCTCTGGGCCCCACAGACCCTGGGCTGGATGCTTCTACAGCCCCATTTCCTTTCTTCACAGCGCGGTAAAGTGGGCACAATATTCCCATTTTACAGATAAGAAAACTGAGGCTCAAAAGGGTCAGGACTGAAACCCAGGACTGCATGACTCCTGGGCTGGCATTCTTATCCTCTCTGCTAAATTGCTTTACATGCGAGGGTGCCAGCTCTGGAACCAGGGTGCAGGTCTTGGCTCCACGCCTTACAACTGCATGACTTTGGAATAGTCTCTGTGCCTCTGTTTCCTCAACTATAAAATGAGAATGATAACAGCATTTCATGGGGGCTGTGTGCATTTGGTGGGATGGTGTACCTCCGTGCTTGAGCCTGCCTGGCAGGTAGGAAGTGCTCCATTAAGGCTGGCTTCTGTGATAGGCGTTATCCATTCTTACAGACCAGTGTAGGGCACTTGTCCAGAATCTCACAGCGAGTCTGGGGTTGGTGGGTGTGTGCTGGGGTACGGCGGGGGGCTGTGAGCACAGGCTCCTTTCCCCTCTCTCAGCAGGCCCCACGGTGCACAGGTCCCCAAGCTCAAGGCTGCACTGACCCACAGCCCCTCGGGGGAAGGCTCTAAGCCCCGCAAGCGGCGTTGCCCTTTCCGGGTGCGATTCGCTGACGAGACCCTGCAGGACACAACGCTCCGCTACTGGGAGCGCAGATGCTCAGGTAAGCAGACGGGATGGGGAGCCTCGAGACTCCAGAAGGTTCCAACCAGGAGGGCAGAGAGGCTGTAGCTCTGGGCCCCTGGAGTGAGGAACCGGCTTGCAAAGGCCAAGAGATCAGTGACCCTGCAGACGATGTGCCTGAACTGGCCACCCTGGAGGATGTCAGGGTGACCTTCGAGGACCAAACAGAGGGTCCGAAGTCCAGTGGAGGTGTTCCCACGTGGGCGGCACCTTGGACTGCTTGCTGCCAAGGGGTCCTCATACGCTGTATCTGCCCACCTTGAAACCCGTAGCCAGAGCCTCTGGAGCCTACACTTGCTCCCCTCCGCAGCCCCCATGGCCTACAGGGGCTGGAGGAGGTCCAGATGCCATTGGAAGCATCTTCCTTCGACATCCATGAAGGCAGCCCTCGAAGGCTGCCTGAGGAGGTACCCGGAAAAGCCGGGAAGAGGAAACTTTCTCTCTCCTGGAGACAGCTGGCACTGCCTGGTCCAGCAAGGAAGCTAAGAGCCACCAGGCCCTGGATGTAATGGTGTCTGTTTTGCGGTTCCCAGTGAGCTTTCTGAAGTGTGTTTCAAGAAGCAGGCGAGAAGTCCCTGTTCTTACTCTGGTATAACCTTGACCAGGCTCCACCTTTTCCTGTGTACCCGGCCTCTTGTCTTCTCAGGATCCAGCAGCCCCCAGGGCCCCCAACAGTCAACTTCCTCTAGCTATTTATTGAGCACCTACTATGTGCAGTTTCAGGAAATGTCTGCCTCAAGGTCTAGCTGTGGGCGATGCCCTACAAACCTAGGACCTTCGCTGATTTGGGAGGATCTGACGCAATCGCCTTAGCATCACAGGAAGCTGGAGTTAGAAGCTGTGATTTTTGCCCAACTTCTGTGTGTTTGGTGGGGAAACCAAGGCCCCAGAAGCAGAATGGGCTTTTGTGGGTGACACAGAGCCACAAATAGAAGCCAGAGTGCCCCCGGGCCCCTCTTGGGAATATAAGGCCAGGACAAGCCCAGGAGAAACAATGTCATGTGAATGGCAGCTGGTGCATACGGGAGATGATTCTGTGTCAGCCACTGGCCATAAGGAGCTATCATGGTGTCCAGGGCAGCAGGGTGCCCAGGATATGTGGGGGCCAGCCTGCTGCTTCCCAGCCCTTTCCATCCTGCGGCAGCCATTGGGGAATTCAGGGTCCTTGGACCATCTCACATGGCTGCTGTTGGACGGGAAGAGCCCCCAGCCCTGAGACAGCCCTCCTTGAAGCCCTCAGCACTCTCAGCATGGTTTCTGGGATTTCTATGATGGGGTAAGCAGTCTCCCCGCTGCGAGAAAGGGGGCACGCTTCTGGCTGCAGCACGAGTGGGGATGCGCAGGAGCACAGCTTGGGTATAACAGAAACAGTCACGCAAGGTAGTTTTAAAACCCAAGCCTTCTCCGGAGGCAGCCAGAAGGCACTGGGGAGCCTGGGGTTGCCATGGAGACAGGGCTCTGACCGGCCTTGCCTGCCAGAGGGAGGAAAAGAGGGTGGGGGCACCAGTGCCCTCCTCCTGGGCAGGGATCTCACCCTGCCCTCTCTCCTGCAGTCCAACAGAGCATCATTGTGAACCAGAAGGCTGCCCTGCCAGTGGCGTCGGAGCGGGTGTTTGGGAGTGTCGGAAAACGGCTGGAGAGTTTGCCCAAAGCCCTGTACCCTGAGGCCAAGGAGGAGACCCTGGCCAGCTCCTGGTGCTGGGACTGTGCTGGCCTGTGTGGCTCTGGGGAAGGGGATGGGACTCGCCGACATTGCCAGGGCTCCCCACCCCGCTTGCTTACAGACCTCCCCACCCGGCAGGAGGCGGGTTGTCAGTGTGGGTCCTCAAGGGCCCTGCCAGCCATGGGTGGGCCGGGGACTCAGAGTCCAGGAAGCTCATGGGGTCCTGTCTCCCCCAGGTCCACCCAGAAGACACAGGGCTGTCTTTCTGAGGACACCTCCATCAACAGCAGCGTGCCCTTCTGTTCAGGGAAGAAGGCCGCTGCTCAGAGACCGCGAAGCGGCCTCCGAGCCTTCTTGGACCCGTACGGCAACCTGGAGCAGGTGGGCAAATGGTGAGCCCCTGCTGGCAGCTGGCCCCGGGAGCAGCCCTGTTTGGTGGGGTGGCTGGGGCTGGGAGTGGATCCTCCCTGCGAGCCAAGTCACCGTGGGGGCTTGCAGTGGCCACGCTGTGTTCCTGCATCTCCCTCAAAGGGCAGCAGTCAAGGGGCGGCTGTAAGCCAGGTGCCTGGGTTCCGATCACAGCTCCTTTCTGCATCTCCCCTCCCTTCCCCTCCTCTCCCCTCCCCTCTCCTTTCTTTGCTTTTTTGAGACAGAGTGGTGCTCTGTGGCCCAGGCTGGAGTGCAGTGGCGCAATCTTGGCTCACTGCAACCTCCACAATGGGGACACCCACCACCACTCCCAGCTAATTTTTGTATTTTTAGTAGAGACGGGGTTTCACTATGCTGCCCAGGCTGGTCTGGAACTCCCGACCTCAGGTGATCCGCCCGCCTTGGCCTCCCAAAGCACTGCGATGACAGGCGTGAGCCACCGTGCTCAACCTTGCATCTGTTTCCTCATCTTTTAAAATGGGGCTGGCAGCACTACCTGCCCGACAGGGCTTCAGCCTAGAATCCCGCTGGGAGCCCAGTCCCCTGCCCTGAGGTCCCAGTAGCAGCCAGCTGGTCCTCTGTCTCACTGCAGTCGGTCCTGAAGCAAGGCCGCCCTAAGGGGTACCATCTCCTCCTGGCCTCCACAACACTGCAGCCAGATCAGAGGTGAACACCCGCCAGCCCAAGGCCAGGGACACACATGGGCCAGGCGATGAGGAGCGTCCTTCCTTGCCCACAAATAAAGGCACATCCCAGGTGGCTGGGACCTGCCAGTAGGTCTCACACAAGCCTTTCTGGGTACCTGATTGCTGGTCTCTGGGGGTTCCTGGAAGGAAGGGGATGGAGATACAGCCAGGATGCGGCTGAGGGGTGGGGACAGGGTATCCCTGGGGTTCAGGACTTGTACCAAGTGAACCCCTCTTCTGGAAGGTGGGAGACCCTGCCACACACCTCAAACCTGGGAACATGCTGGGCACGATGGTCCACGCCTGTAATCCCAGCACTTTGGAAGGCCAAGGTAGGAGGATGGCTTCAGCCCAGGAGTTTGAGACCAGCCTGAGCAACATAGACCCTGCCTCTTAAAAAAAAAAAAAAAAAAAACCTGGGTGTGGTGGTCCACACTTCTAGCCTCAGGTACTTGGGAGGCTGAGGCGGGCAGATCACTTGAGCCCAGGAGGTTGAGGCTGCAGTGAGCTGTGATTGGGCCACTGCACTCCAGCCTGAGCGAGAGAGTGAGACCTTGTCTCAAAAATCAAACAACAACAACAACAAAACCCAAAAACCTTGGGACCAAGCCTTTGTCGACCTAGATCAGCCCACACCTGAAGCAGGCACCTGCTGGAAACTCAGCCTAGGGGTGGAGAATCCCCACCCCAAGCTTCTGTCCTCCCCCTCCAAGCCTCCATCTTGACATCCACTGTGGAGTGAGGGTGTCCAGACTCCAGCCCAGGAAAAAGAGCCCTGTGTTAGTTTCCCTGGCCGGGGTGGTACCCTCTGGTCCTGGAAGGCAAAGCACCTGGGTGGGACGGGCTGGGGCCCGCCGTTTCTCTCCTAGTCTGGGGATGAGGGAGTGGATGTTCAAATCTGTATCAGGAGGTGGCGAAAGACAAGGTAGCAGGCACTGACCCAGCACCCCCAGGCCACCGCCAAGCCCCTGCCCACCAAGTTTGCCCCTGCCGGTGGCCCCCAGCCCCGCGCCATTACCCAGGATCCGGGTCTTTCTCGCCACCTCCTGGTCGCTGAGGAAACAGCAGGGAATCCACACCCTGGCGCCTTGTTTAATGGCAAAGGAATGGGCTGCAAACGGTGGGACTGGGCTGGGCGGTGGCTGGTGGGGGTCTTTAGGGCCGGGATGGGCTGTGGATGGGGGAGGCCTTTTGGGAGAGGCGCCCCGACTCCAGAAGAAGGGCAACAGAGCTAGACTCAGTTTAGACAAACTGTGCGGGGATAGGAAGAAGACAGCGCTGCCACCGCCCCTCCACCGAGTACCTGACTGCTGGACTCGGGGGGTTCCTGGAAGGAAGGGGGTGGAGACACAGCCAGGACGAGGAGTGGCATTGTCTCTGGGACGTCCCCTTCCCTCTGTCTCCCTTTCTGGACTTTCACGCCCCGTCCCCTGACCCAGGCTCATTATTTCCTGGAGAACCTGCGGGTCTCAGCAGGCCCGATTCTACCGCCCCTCCTCCAGGTGGCCTTGCGCAACCCACCTCGCCCTCTCTGAGCCTCAGTTTCCCCCAAGGGTCGCGGCGGGACCCGACCCCTTTTCCGGCTGCAGCGCCGCAACGCGCCCACGCGGGGGCAGTGTTGGCCTGGCTTTGGCGCCGCCTGGCGCGGCCGAAACTTCTCAGCCTCTCCCTCCAGGGTCGGAAACTTTTCCCCTCGCGCGGCGCTGGCGCTCGCGCCCGCCGGCCTCCGCCTCCGCGCTGCTGGCCCCGCACAGCCCAGCTCTGGCCGCGCGACCTCCTGGCAGCTGCTACGAGCCCGCGGCCGGCCTTGGCGGGTGGGAGGAAACGCGCCGCCCCCGCCCCCCAACTTCCCTCTCTCTCGCTTTTGTTGTTCAGCCCAAAATTGCTAGGCTTGCAGCCGTGCAGCAGCGCCGAGCACTGAAGCCGGAGTCCGCGTGGAGAGCCCTGGGCGGGTCTCGGCGCCCCCGCGGGCCCCCGCGACCCCGGACTCCACGCACTTGCTCGCGCCGGGGGGCACCACGCCGGGGGGGAGTCGCTGGGCGGGGCTTGCAGGGAGACCTGCCCCCCCCTCCCGCTTATGCTTACCCTTCCCCTTCCCCCCTTTCTCCTCCCCCACCCTCCTCCTCCCTTTACCCTCCAGCTCTCCCCTGTGGCTCGGCACTCAAGGCCCCGGGATCCCGCAGCGCTCTTGTCCGCTCCCTGCGCTGCCCGCTGCCTCCCCGCAGACCACAGACGGAGGATGGGAGCCTCAGTCCCGCCGCTTTTGGCACTTACACCCACCACCGAGATAAGCACCCCGAGACACACACAGGCACACCACAGGGCCACACCCACATGGTACACAGACACAACACCCCACAGACACCCCCTTCAGACACACACACCACACAGGTACACGGACTCCTGCCCCACAAACAGACTGTGCACACAGGCCGACCTCACACATACACGGCCTCTCGCGGGGTCTCCCAGGGCCGCAGCCCCCACATTCGGGGTCACCTGCTGCCCTGGAGGCCCAGACGCCTCCCCCTGGCCCTCTGTAGCCCCTTGTCTGTACACCAGCATGTCCCCTACCATGAACTTAGGGTGACCAAGGACGTGATGAGGAAGAGAGGGAGCGAGGCATTCAGGGGATGGACCCATTCCCAGCTGTTCCCCGGGGACCCTCGGGGGCCCATCTCTCACCCTCTTTGGCAGTGACCCCAGACTGGTGGCCTCCCCAGGGGCCCCAACAGGTCCCTTTTCCGTGGGGCATTTCCACTCAGGGCTGGTGGGAGTGGGGGGGTTGTGGGGTGGAGGGCTGCCCCTCCTGGGCTTCAGGAAGCAGCATGTCGGGGAGGCCAGGAAAGCCCTGCTCCCCGCAAGTCAGACCCATCTGAGCAGCTGGGATCAAGGCAGGCGCAAGCCCCACCCCCACCCCTGCCATTGGCCATGGGCAGTTCTGTGCCCAGCCAGAACAGGGGAGAATGGGAGCTGGGTCTATTTGGGTGGAGGGGGAGGAATGAGTCTGACCCAAAGCAGAGGGCAGAGCTGGGAGAGGCAGGAGGTCATTGTCCCTTTCTAGGTGTCCCCACCTCCCCACGCCTCTGCACCCCTGCAAGGTGGCTCCTTAGCCCTGTTTGCTAATAAGGACACTGAAACCCTGAGGGCTCAGGGGGTCTCACCTGGGCGTGCTGGTGGTGCCGACTGGAGCTGGAACTGGTCCTACAGGTGTCCTGCGCCAGCAAGGCCTTTGGCCGCATGCACAGGAGCTCTCTCGTAAGCTGCTCTCTACAACCTTTGGTTGTTGGGGAAGCCAGGGCCCAGAGAGGCTCAACTCTTTCTCAAGATCACACAGTGACCAGGTGTTGGAGTGGGGATTCGCACTCAGCACCTCTTCTCGGGGAAGCCCTGTCTCCCGCTGAACGTGGTCCTCTGGGGGCTGCTGCTTCCTCCTGCACACGGGGCCCCTCGGAGCAGGGAGGATCAGGGCAAGGTCAAGGAAGGAGAGGCGTTTATTTAGAGAGGGTGGAACTGGGCAGGTGCACAGGGTCCGGAAGGAGCTGGAAGCCTCAAGGCTGGTGGGCAGGACCCATGACTGAAGTGGAGAAGAGGGCGCTGGCTCCAGGCAGGAGCCTGGTGGGAGGGAGAGGAGGGAGCCAGGAATGAGCCATTCTGCAGGCGGCTCATTCAGCTCTGTTATGGACTGAACGTGTCCCCCCAAAATTCATATGCTGGAACCCCAGGTCTAACGTGATGGTATGAGGAGGTGGGGCCGTTGACAGGTGATCAGGTCACGAAGGTGGAGCCCTCACACGTGGGATTCCTGCCCTTATAAGAGAGGCCAGAGGTCGAGTGCTGTGACTCCCGCCTGTAATCCCAGCACTTTGGGAGGCCGAGGCGGGTGGATCACCTGAGGTCAGGGGTTCGAGACCAGCCTGGCCAACATGGTGAAAACCCATCTCTACTAAAAATGAAAAAATTAGCCTCGCATGGTGGTGGACACCTGTGATCCTAGCTACTGGGGAGGCTGAAGCAGGGGAATCACTTGAGCCCAAGATGCGGAGGCTGCAGTGAGCCGAGATCATGCCACTGCACGCCAGCCTGGGCAACAGAGCAAGATTTCATCTCAAAAAAAAAAAAAGAAAGATAAAGAAAAGAAAAAGAGGCCCCAGAAAGGCGTTGCCCCTTCCTCCTTGTGTGGATACAGCAAGAGGCCAGCAGTGTGCAACCTGGAGGAGGGCCATCACTGGAACCCGACCATGCCGGCACCCTGATCTCGGACTGCCAGCGTGCAGCCTGGGAGGAATACATTCTGTTGCTTTGAAGCCACCCGGGCTTTGGTCATCTGGTAAGCAGCCCAGAGAGACTCAGCCAAGTACCACACCCGTGCTGGGCCCTCAGTGGGTACCTGCCCGGGCAGCCCCGCCCCCGGGAGCCTAGAGTCATGGGGAACGTCACTCAGACTGGGCATTTCCAGGACACAGTGACAAGTCCTGGGATGAGAGGCCTTGGGAGCAGACAGCAGGGACTCAATCCTCTGTGCAGGGCATGGGGTGGACACCTGGGCTTTCTGACGGCAACCAGGTGGGGGCATGGTCAGAACTGACCAGAGGAATGCAGGGAAAGGCAGGTGACTGCTACTGCCTTTCCGGTCCCACAGGAAGGCTGGTGATGCAATTCTCGGCGTGGACCGGGGAGGAAACCGACATGGGAGAGCTGTTGAGCAGGCAGAGGGAAGGGCTGGTATTCCCCTAGCCAAGATACACATACACACAAACACACACACAAACACACACACACACACACACACGCACACACACCCTGCTTCACAGCCGTGTGGGGCTGCTCAGCACTCATTCCGGCTGTTCTGCCTGTATCGGGGCCATTTTTTCGACCCCACCCCACCACTTGCCCGCCCTCTCCCATAATTTCTGCCTCTCTGGGTCATTCTGTCTTCCCTCCCAAATACACCGTAAGCGACAGATGGTCTGCACCTTCCTGTTGGAGGCAGTGAAACCCTTCCATGGAGACATGTGACACCACCTCCGGGCAGCCCCACAAGCCTCAACATTCCCCTATGAACAGCACCAAGAAGGGGGATGCTCGCCGCTGTTT